TTCTCATTCACTCTCAAACATTGCCATTTGTTTGGTTCCTTTGCTTGTTTGTTTTTAAAAGAAGTCCTGAAGATTTACAAATTTCTTCTTTAAGAGGACAGGAAGAATTTGACACTGAATCTGATTTGAGAGAATTGACAGCTATACTCATTCAGCCACAAAATTGTTAGTACTTAGCTCTAAGAAGCCTGGCTTCAAATCCCTCTGTATTCAGCCATGCTTGTGTGGTACTGAAGGTTGCCCCCTCTCTTTTTTTTATTTGCTTTTTTGTCAGTCTTAATGGGTAGACATGGTCCTGGTCAAACTGCAAGCTTTGGGTTTTCATGTCATTGGTTTGATAAATCTTTAGCCTGAAGTACATACCCAAGTGACTCAAGCTATTTTGAGCATAGCATCTTGGCTAGCTTCTTTACAATGCTGACTAAAAGCCAGAGGAAATTCACTGCTGCACTGTTATAGAAGGTGCGGGTGGGTTAGAATTTGGATGTAAGCTCAAATTCATGTACAGCATGCCCACATATGGTGTGGGTATGCTGTACCACTGAATGTAATGCTAACAGCTGTAACATAAACAACTAGCAAAATTAAAAGTATACCTTCAAATTACAATATAATACACATAACCTAAATGTATTTTTGTTTTAAATGTGATGGTTTTTTAAAAAAAATTATTTTTTTGAAGAAATTTCAAAATTTAAAATATTGAAATTTGAAATTTAAAAATGCTAGGGCCTCTCCTCCCACTGAGCTTTGCCCCAGTTCCACCATCTCTTAAAGCATTTTAAAGAGAAGCAGATGAATGCCACAGCACATTTCTGCCCAAAGATAGGTGTTTAAGGAGTAGTGGTGTCTCTCTCTCTCTCTCACACACACACACACACACACACACACACACACACCTCTTAGGGCAGGGGTAGGCAACCTCTTAGGGCAGGGGTAGGTAAGCTCAAATCATTTTCAGCTTAAAGCAATCCTATCCTAGGGTTTTCCTGGAAGCATTTATTCAGAAGAGGTTTTCTGCTGCCTTCCTCTAAGACTAAAAGCAAGGGTCTTGCCCAAGGTGACCTAATGGGTACCCATGGCTGAATGTGGATTCAAATTGTCATCTTCCTGAGTATTAGACTAATATTCAAACTAAGGCGGCACACTGGCACTGGATTTTCTATACCAGTATTCACAGCTTTCTTTCCTATAGAACAGGGGTAGGCAACCTAAGGCCCGGGAGCTGGATGCAGCCCCCCGAGGCCTTTGGACCGGCCCCAGGCCAGTCCTGCTGTGGCTGCTGCCTCCCACCATGATGATATTGATTATTGTTATTATTACTTGTTCTTGGGGTTTTCTTGGCAAAATCTCCACAAGGGTTTTGCCATGGCTTTTCTGGGGCTGAGAGAGTGTGCATGCATATTTTATTCATTCATTCATTCATTCATTCATTCATTCATGGTGCTTTGGCCCCCCAATTGTCTGAGGGACAGCAACCCAGCCCCCGGCTCAAAAAGGTTGCCTACCCCTGCTATAGAAGCTTTCAATTTATGCCATTTACTCACCTTTTAATACAGAGTATTAAAAAAGCACTAGGAATGTGTTGGAAGCATGCAGAGAGCCAGTGTAGTGTAGTGGTTTGAGCATTTGACTAGCACTCTGTAGACTAGGGTCTGAATCCTTTTTTAACCATGAAAATCCATTAGATGATCTAGAACAAGTCATACCCTCTCAGCATCAGAGGAAATCAGTGATAAATCACCTCCAAACAAATCTAGCCAGGAAAACTCCATGATTGCTTCACCTTAGGTCTGCCATGAGTCAGAACTGACTTGAAAGCACACAACAACAAACAACAACGAGAAAGCATGTGCATACTCTCCAACATTTCACAGATGAAAACTGTGTGGTCAGAGTGTGGCAAAAATTATTAATGAGGAAGAGCACACAAGCTAGGATAGGCTGTAGCATTTTTTCTTTTGCCTGAGCCTACAGGGAAGGACAAGATTCTTCCCTCTCTTCTCTCCCACCCTTACTGTGTTAATAGAGTGCAGATTACTTTTCCACATCAAATTCACTTTGCAGCAACTGAAGTAAGCCAAGAATAAAAGGGAGAGATGGGGCAAGAAGAGGAAAACTGGGACCCTTTCAAAAGCAGTTGAAAAAGCAGGATAACAGAGGAATAATCTGGACTGTCCCTGCTAAACTGAGACAGTTAGAAGAGATGTATGCGAGAATTGAGAAACCTCTTCATGAGGAAATTGAGAGGAGGGATTTCCTTTCTTGGCTATGCTACTCATCTCTGTTTGAAATGATGAGTAAGAAAGCTCAGTTTATTTTCACTTTAATCTATCCCTGAAATGCCTCTCTTCATCTTTTCTAAAATGTCCAGAAGGCAATGCTTCCAAGCAAGCACCAAACAAGAGTTTTTTAAAATATATATATATTGAAACTAGATAAAGCACAATAGCCATAAAACTAGTACAGGTTTTAAAATCCCCCATGCTTTTTTTTTATTGTCTGGAAAGATCTCTCTATCTGCCACTTTCTCTGTCTCCGTTCCTCCCTCTCCCCCATAAAGCACTGATTTTTCTCAGTTGTGTTTGCTAATTGTCCTGGGATTTGCATTTCCGA